GTGTTAAAACTGTTTGTGCAGTTAGAATAACATATATTCTTAAACTAAAACACTTTTACAGTATAACACGGTCTATAAACACACGTTTTGAGCCTGGTCTACCGTCACAGGCTAGGGCTGGCCGATTACAGGTATTTCGCCAAATTAATTAATTGGCAAATATTTATCCGAATATTATTTACTGGTAGCATGAAACAGCCGCATATTAATTTACTGGCAAATTATAAACCATTTCACAAATGAAACATTTGAATTCAGAAGTTAATAACTAGACATAATAATAAATTAACAGAAATAGTTCCCATGTCACATGCATGTGTCATGTATGTTTATGCATTTCATCATACAGATTGGAAACTGGCAAAATTGGACCTCAAAATATCGCATTTCAAATATTATAACACGCTATAATTTGCAGCAGTAGCAACACAATATGAAGATAACACACAATGAAGCCGAAATATTTGAATATTCGCGCGCCGCATGATCGAGCTTTCAACCAATGAGGATAGCGCCGCCGTGAAATCTAATACCTTCTTGTCGCATCGATACTGGCAGTCTGGCATTATAGTTTGTGGTCGTTTGTATGGGAATATATCTGCTATTGTGGTGCGAGGGTTCTATAATGATTGCTTCTAAGTGTCAGTGCGATGGAAGCGATACAAACTGATTAAAATGGCTTTAGTATATTCATATTTCAAGCATAAAGATGGCTTTAAAACAGTGTGAGGAAGAAGCGAGCAAGGTTGCTGTTTGTATTTGAATGACAAAGGCTGGCCGCTAATGCAATTCAAAACGTGTGGTTCACAGCGTCAATGCTTTAGAATTAGTTCGCCTGTAACTTCAAAGATGTGATAAACGTCGAAAGGAATAAGGTGAGTTATTATAATAATGCGAGAATTATAATTATTGTTGTCTGCGATTGTCGTATTTATACATTACGACCGCCATTATGCTGAGGCTACTCTCATTGCCATTGCAGTCTCAGTTAAGAAAACTTGCGCGCGTTTTGATTTACAAGTACTGTAGTTTTGTCTGATTTATCTTGCGTTTAGTGTTTTCATTTCAATTATAAAGACAAGTATTTTAGAACCTGAGGTGGAAAATCGGGAAATGGCTGTTAAATACCCAACCTCAACTATATCATATTCATATAGGAATGCAAGATTTTGTGCATTCTATTCAAATTACGCACAACAACACAGACCAACAATATTTTATTCATTAAATTTCAATGGCTAACCGAAACGGTAATGTTTTATATTGATTACCTAACGATGGAATTTATTTTATTAATACTGTCTGTGAGATGAGATACAGTATACACTACACAGCTGGACCTGAGCTGGTGTTTCATGAATATTTTTGCCAACTCGAATTTTATATTTGATTTTTAACCATTAAGCTGCAATGTTCCCAAATATACCTTATTTTATTGTTTTATTCTGCGACTATAAGCCCTGGGCTTATAACTTTCGTAAGCGATTTTTGATTGGCTTATACAAGGGGAGGGGGGGGGGGTATATACTGGGGGCTAATACATGGATGATCTTTTGTGTTAGTAATAAACAAATCAGACTAAAACAAGTCAGTCATAAACAGGAAAATAAACATCCATTAATAACGTGCTTTGATTAACGTAACATGTAGTCGGCTATAAAGACACTGACAATGTTTTTAAATACCGTTCTCTGCTATATTAAAAGACAATGAAAATGTTGAATAACGTAGTGGGCTACTGGGCTTATATTCGGGGGACTTATATTTGGGGGGCTTATATTTGGGTGGGCTTATGTTCGGGGGGGGGCTTATATTTGGAATGAATTGAGCGTTAGTATATGTGGTGGGCTTATATTCCGGGCTGGCTTATATTGGGGGGGGCTTATGGTCGGGGGGGGGGCTTATAGTCGGAGGTTTACGGTATAATGACAGAGATAATTTTGCCTATCAATGGGAGAGTCCTGAGTATTAATATTTAAGAGTGAAAATATTGATTATGATATAATGTTCACATTATAAAATCCCCAAACATAATTCTATTTCTCAACCATGTCAAAAGATACACTAAACCTAATTAAGTTCTTATTGCAACAGATTCTCATTTTAAAGTAGAATAATTGCCACATGTAGTGTTAAGGTGAGATAGCACATCTCTTATCCATCCACGACAAATGACCCATTTGACACAGTTAAAACTATAATGGGGGTAATTTTTCTGTCTTAAAATGGCAATGTATCGATATGATTTTTCAATGGCAAAATGCAATTGGACTGTACGGGCCAGTCTGTACCAGTCACTAACTAATATATAGTTAAGCTAGGTGACACTTGCTCGATGACTTCCCTATTAGATACTGTACTCCTTTTGAAAAATATTAATTGCTACATGTAGTGTTAAGGTGAGATGGCACATCTCTTATCCTATCATTGCATGTGACCAATGCTTATTTGTCTCAACAAAGATATGGTTTGCGCTCTAGCTAGATATCTCAGTGACATTTAGATAACGAGTAGCATAAAGCCAATCAGAATACAACATTTAACTCTTGTTCAAGCATTAGAACTTGACAACATTTAAAATTACTAAATATATATACTGTATAGACTAATGTGAAAATGAATACTTTTAGGATGACGGACAATGGCCATTGATGAAGAAGTGAGGAAATCAACCTATCCTTGAATCTTGGCATCAGGTGACATTGCATCCTTGGACCCATTGTACATTGCTGCCGTGGGGCAAATTTAGTTGCGTTTTGCTGGTAAAAATATTCCACATACTTATTGCCACATTCCATGTTCTAAATATGGAATACACTCCAGGTGTTTCGAGTGTTTATGCATTTCTAGAATCTATAACCTTAAACCGCCCTGCTGATGCCAAGAACAAAATTTCTGTACAACAACTCTTAAGTGAGCTTGGACTCCGAAATTAATCGTGATAAATACTTAGTTCATATAAATTCATGCATGTTAAAGGTATTTCTTGTCAGCGAGTAATTTATAATAATAACCAATTTTGAACCTATATTTCTCTTTTGTGTGTGTCTTAATGTGCCTGGTTGAAAGTGTTAAATCAACACCTTAAATCTGGTGTTATTTTAGCACCAGATAGGAAGAAGTGTTGCTTTGGCACTGCCAAATCAGGTGTTATTTTAACGCCACACTATAGGTGTTAAAACAACTCTTAAAACTGGTGTCACTTTAGCACTTAAAAGTGGTGTTAGTTTAACACTATAAACAGGTGTTAAATTAACCCCCAAAACTGGTGCTAATTTAACACTAAAAATGGGTGTTGTTTTAACACCATATCTAGTGTTATTTTAACACTTTTTTAGTGGTGTTAAAATAGCACCAAAAAGTAGTGTCATTTTTTACCTAATTTTTTAACACCACTTTTTGGTGTTATTTTAACACCCTAAAATTAACAGTGCAGTCAGAAGGAAAACCAGAGACCTTCGCCTCACGTTTTGCTGCATCTCTCATCAACATTACGTCGCGAATATTTTGAGTTATCCAAGGAGCGGGTTTTGATTTAACTGTATTTGTATTGAGGCATCAAATGCGATATTATTTGTATTTCAGCCGTTGGTACTTGTTACGGAATGGCTATGTAAAGCTATATATAGATTGTGTTAAACGTGGTTAAAAATATTTTGACTTTGTTGTTTCTGATGACATTTGCCGACTCTCGACTTTTACTCTCGATCGACTCTCGACTTTTTACTCTCGACTCTCGACTTTTACTCTCGACTCTCGACTTTTACTCTCGACTCTCGACTTTTACTCTCGACTCTCGACCTTTACTCTCGACTCTCGACTTTTAGATACACTCTAGAATATCTAATAAAATAACAAATCCTTGTATGGATAAATGTTCATTTCACACGCACGCTATTAACAGCTGCTTAATAATTAACTTATGTATTCGTAAACATTTATACTCGATAGTCGCTATTAAAAGCAGACAATATTGAACAATGATCTGAAGTTGTCATGCAACTGACAACAATATTATATGTCAAAATACCTGTATATGATGATATTTTACAAATATCTCGGGATTTTTGGACCAATTTTAAACTAAGCAAGGCAAAAAGTCTCCATTCAAGAATATATCTTCTTCTCAAAAGGTAAAATACTTAAAATACTTGATTAAATTGTTTACTTCGACGGTATGTAAATTAACAGCGTTTGACTTGCAAGACGTCAAAAACGGACGATTTCAACGCGCTATCGTTTATCGCGTATTCATTTGCCAAAAGAAGTATTTACGTCAATTGAAAGCTTGCTTATTAAAGAGCCAACTAGTAGAAGCATGATCGATTTGGGGCTTTATCGCATGGTGAAAATCGGTTTTGTTAAGAGGGTATCGTAAATGAAGTAAGACAGTGTGCTCCAAAACTACGATTATATCTATTCCTAAAAGTAACTCAGATTTCCTGTAAGTCATGTATACCGTCCTGTGAATAACCGAAAACAAGATTTTTAGGGTTTTAGATCGATTAGAAACGGTTGTCGTCGTGAAATTTATCTGTAAAATCAGCGCATATTTTCCCAGAAAAAATGGCGATTTAGGGTGGTACTGTTAAATCGACATTTTCTCAAAGTTAATCATTTGACCTAAAAAAATATATGGTGCATTTTCCGATATAATAAGGTATATCTGGGCAAAATTTGAGCAAAATCGATTTTTCAGTCGTGGCCGCGAAATGTCTTATATGTTCGATTTTTACTGACATTCACTCTTAAACGTCTGAGACGTTAAAGTCGTCTATATAATATAAATACGGGAAATTAGACAGACGAATAAAAAATTAACGTCGTCTGTTAAATGCGTCCAACCGACGCACTTAACAGACGACTTAGTCGTCTCAGACGTTTAATTCGTCTAGTGTAAATACGAGACGACTAAAATTTGACCCCGACGCACTTAAGTCGACAAAGTCGAGGCCAAATTAGCTCGAAAGAGCCTGGAGCGATTCTCAATTACAAACAAAATGGCATCTAAAACTATGAAGAGAAAGCCTAAAACCAAAAAGAATACGGAGGTTAGAGTTAGGAAATGGGCAGAACAGGAGTTAAAACAATTTGCATATGTTTTGGCAGACGAAATTGATGACTTTGCTCACAAATTAGAGTCATTGGCCATTAAGAAATCGGCAAATGAGCACATTTCTCAAAGAATTAAAGAGGAGTTTGATGCTAGTTTGCATAGAACTTCTAACGAGAGTCAAGAGAAACAAAATGTAAACGGCAATCGAATCGATACATCTGTTCCAAAGCTGAGAAATAAATATAAATGGTTAAAAGATCAATGGCGTAAAATAACTGATAGAGCAAAGACAGGAAGTGGACAGGCGGCAAAAGATGACCCTGAATGGTATACAATTCTGGATCCTGTCTTTACTGAGACTCATACCAAACTAAAGCTCGCTAGCCAAGCAGATGACATCCTGTCCAGCAATAGTAGCGATGAAGAAAGCGGAGGATACGATAGTTACAGAGGATAAAACACTTCAAAAGAAACCTAGCTCTCTTCCAAGTGCATCAACAGGTTCAGGAGAAGAAACTGAAAAGTCTGAAACGACTAACAAGAGGTAAAAACAAATGTGATATCACTACAGCATTTAATAGTGCGAAATTTATTTTCAATGTAAGAATTCATTTTTTGAGGGTTATAAATTCAGACATTCACTACCCACTGTGTTGGAGAAAGTTCTCTAACCCTGTGATCCTTGATAGGCACTCCAGTGCTCATTCAAGACAGCCCCGAGTCAAAACGGGCCCGCTTGGATTGGTCGAAACAGCCCTGCTTCCCCACCGGCCAAATCCTTGAAAATGCTCTGAATTTGTTATAGTATATGTTACCAAACAACAGAAATAAACCATTGCCAGAAAATATACCAGCTATGCACAGGTGAACATATTTGAATAAAATAATTCCATGGTTCAATATTTACAATCTAAATTACCTAATCCTTGAATAAATTTTATAATTTAGCAGAAAATCTATAGTCGTTTTGACTTGGGGCTCTTTTGACTTGGGGCTGTTTTGACTGGTAAGTAGCCCTCCCCCCTGACAGAATACGTAGATGATTTACAGTATTGCAATTATGAACAAGCGCAGTTAACAGTCATTGTTTATACAGCATCGTTCATAAATATATTTATCTGCTTATTTAATTAAGCTATTGGAAGTTGGATAAACCTAATTTAACAGACTATCATTTGGTGTAAAAGTTTCATTTTTAACCAAGGAGAATGATACACCATAGTTTTATTTAATCATTAATTGTAAAAGTTTATTTTTGTTCAACATAGGGTTCAAAAGTATACAATTTCTGAAGAAGAAGACAGCTCTATTCAAGCTGATAATTCAGATTCAACTGATAAGTTGAATAAAGTTAAAATTAAGTCAAATTCAAGTTTAGTGACAACACAAGCTCAGGCTCTAAGTCAATTATCTACCAGCTTGGTAAATTTGGGAGAGTCACAAAAAAAACGAATGGAAATGTGGCTGATGGCAGAGCAGAAAAGGGAAGAGGCGCATATTTAAGATACCAAGAAAGACAATCTGAGCTTAATCGACAGCACGAGCTTCGTATATGATACAACTTATGACTGGTCTTCAAAATAGAGGAAATTCCCAACCCTCAAATTTGCTTCCAACCATGCATACTAATCTGCCTATTGGAATGCACTCCCAACATCCAACTCCAGTTATACAACATACAAATTCCCAACAGAATTTATGGTCAGTGACGAATGAGCAAGCCTTTTCAGGTATTTCCTACCATTCATCAGATATGGGTACTTCAAATAAAGAACCAATTTACACCAATCTTGATGACTATAACAAGTAACTATTAACTAAGGGATTGACTATATAAACAGTCAGTTAGTAAATTTTTGCATTTGAGATTAAATTATTGTTTGTTTAGTTTATTTACATGTCAAGGTGCAGACTTAGCTAAAACATATTGAACTGCTATATTTTACTACATTTGAAGAGTAATTTAAATTTGGTTTTGTTGAGAACTGTTGTGGTTTGACTGACATTGGGAATGAAGTTCAATAAACTGACTCAACCAATTGGGAAACAGGAATTTTCTCCCATTTTTTATTTCCTAATTAAATTATTGTCGATTTCAGGTCACTTTTCAAAGTGCGGATTCCCAAGTTTGTTGTGAATATTTGCATGTTCAGTACTTCAGTTCAGTATTGCGGTACTTTGGTACGCAATTATCTGCAAAGTTAGCTTTGCAATTTCCATGCCCAGTATTCCAAATTTAGAAACGTAATTGGGAATATTCACAACAAACTTGGAAATAACGCTTTGGAAACTGACCTGAAATCAACAGCAAAGTATTAATTAAATGTTATGATTGTGTGCTTTCAGAAAATGTGACAACATTTAGGGTGACTAGTAGACAATATAGCACTATTTTTTTTAAGAATTCTTGGCACAGTAACAACCCACAACCAAAATCTTAGAAATAGGAAATTCACTTGTGATGACAAATCCTGTTCAAATTGTTCAAAATTAATTTCATACTTCTGCAATCATATATTATCCTACTAATTTTGTTGAACCATTGTGTTGAATTATACCATTAATGAACAAATTTACTTAATTAAATTAAATTGTTATTAATACATTTTGTTAAACATTTCCACCTGAAACATTTCCATACAGGAAGATATAATTTCATGTCCACTACAGATTGTTTGCATATGACGTCACAGCCGCCATGTTTGTTCCAATTCAAAAGAATTTTAATTACTAGACACTTTTGTCTGGAACACCACCATGGCCACCATGGTTTTGTTAAGTTGGTCCCTGTAAACACTGACTGAAGCTTGAATGACCATGCTAAATCTTCACTGAACCTACTTTTAGGGTTCAAGGTTGTGGCAGTGATTTAGTCCATATTAATGATGGTATTAGGCAATACTCCGAGTGACGAACCATACCAAACAAATAGAGAAAACTTTACTTTGCCCGGCTGGGATTTGAACCCACAACCTTCAGTTTACTAGTCTGATGCTCTAAGGATGCTTTACTAGTCCGTCCCGATGAGCTACAGTTGAAGTTTGGAGCAGGTTATTGAGAGATATTGGATCAAGGGCTTGACCTGCTCCCCAACTTGACCTGTAGTTCATTCGGTAGAGCATCAGACTAGTAAACCGAAGGTCATGGGTTTGAATTCCAGCCGGGCCAAGTAGAGTATATGGATTTAGACAATATTGTTTCTTTTATTTCATCTATATAAACATATGTATTAGTGTGCATACAGTAAACCTCCGACTATAAGCCCTGGGCTTATATTCTTTCGTATATGTCTTATAATACTTCCCGATGTAAATTGCAACTTAGGTTGCGGTGGAGGGGTCGACATTTTAAAACATTGCCAATGACTTTAATTTTTCTTTAGTGTACTAGAATTTAATATTTTGTGTCTATATTACTTAAAATGCTTGTATAAAAATTACTTGGAAAGTCTAACTACAAAATTGGTGACTCTATGGATTCCATGAGATCCTTAAATATGATTTCTGCCATTTTATCATAACCTTTTGCCTTTAAGTGTACTCCAGATGGCTCCCAAAATGACTTTCGATCTTCAAGAGAAAGTTGGTGAAGTGAAAGTTTCAATGCCAAATCAGACAAATATACTTTACTTCCAGCTGCTGCTGCATACATCCGCAAATGCTTGTTTATGATCTGTCTTCTTTCTTTTACACCTGGGCAATTTGTTCGCTCACAGAATATTTCTGGTATGGTGATAACTAGGGATTTTGCACCTCGAGCATGTGCAACTTCATGCATGATAATAATTTGATCAGCTATTTTATCACTTGGACTTTCACTCATGAGTAAGTCATTTGTTCCAGCTAGAATAAGCACCCAGTTATAAATTCTTTGTTCTGGAAGAGAAATTAAATTTATCAGTTGCGTATTGATAGGGGCGCTTTCCATTAACACGGCCAGACCGGTCAGATTGTTGAATGAAACCGAAAACATTTGGGTTTCGGTCCTATCTGACCGGGAAATTTAGATAACAGAATGAGGTCCATTTTCGCTAGATATTTGAGAAACATAGGCCAAATGTTTCCATTGATACAGAGAAATTCGGGTCTGCCGGTCAGGCCATTAAATGGAAAGTGCCCTAGGTAATCGTATTGGGCCAAGTAAAATTAAGGTTTAATTTCACGCGAGTTTTCAAAGTTTCACAAATTGAAAAGTTTCACAACTTTGAAAACACACGTGAAATTAAACCTTAATTTTACGAGGAACTATGCGATTACTTGTTAATCATAAAGGGCAAAATTTATTCACGAGTGTATACGCGGTGAGCAAAGTTAAGTGGGATAGCACGTACCAGGGCAAAAACACAAAAAACAAATGTTTAACTTAGTATATTTATTCAAGAAACTTTATTTAGATTAATACATTTAAAACTATTTTAATTTTCTTCATTCAAATCAATGTATTAAATTAAAGAGTAACTTTTACAATATGTGTGTGTATGTGGAAAATTAACTACGTCCGGCGTAAACAACATGAGGAAGCCATTAAGTGTTCATGAAATTGACATGAAAAACAAATGAAGTCTTCAACATAATAACTAAAGCATTGCCAAACCTTTTGAAATTCATTATCCCTTATTAAACACCGCGGAAAAACGTCTGCGCATGCACCAAATTATGAAAATATGGCGGGGAATTTGAATATCAATTTCTAAAACAAAAACATGCTTATTAATTGGTCAAAAATTAGTAAAACAAACGAGAAAATATAGCAAATGGGTAGACTAGACATTAATTGAAAGCGTCCTGGCATTTAAAGTATAGAATGAAATATAATTCATGTAAAAAATTGTTGATTTTAACGGACACGACTTCGAAAATTTTTGCAAAATTATTCAAAACAAAAATTCAAACTAAAAAGTTAAGAAAACTCTCGAAAAGTTAAGCTTCTTAACCCACTCAAATTGTAGAATAAATCCTAAAGTTTAATTATTGTGAACACGCAACTTTTTTATATTTGGCGACACAGTTTTTTTTAAAGAAATGTATCTCCAACGAAAATTCGGAAATTGTCGTTGCTTAGTTGATAAACAAAATGTTTCAGACGATAAATTTGTCAACAATCACCTTTAGTTCATGTTCTTGTACAATACAATTTCAGTTGAACCTTCTGGCTGTATTTATTCCTAGTTTTTAGAATGGCATGTTTATTTTTGGGCTCGAAATCTGGCTGTAAAGACGCACAATGAAGTCACTCTTTTTTACCGCCATTTTGAGCCTTCGGAAACGTTCGAAACATGTTTCTCATCAATTTCGCAATACTATTACAGGTAAGGTTGACGCATGCGCAGACGTTTTTCCGCGGTGTTCCCTTACTATTATATGGCAAGCATTTGTTTTAATGAATCGCGCAATTTGATTAGCTGCTGACAAGGCAGGATTTTCCCGTATTGCCCACGGGCAATACGTAATTTTTATTGCCCTGCGACGAAAGCCGAGTTTCAAACAGCAAAAAGTGTCTAAAAGTCATTCAAAACGAAGAAAAATAAACCTAAAAGAAAAAGAGGAGCAACTGCTGTGGTTAAAGAACTTTCTCCATACGTTTTTGTTAGCGAAAGTCAAAATTACAAGGTAAATTTTACAATGTTTATAACTATAAAAGCAGTCAGGAATAGTTGTGTTTTGAGTATGCGAAGAGCTGCAAATTTTATTTGCAGATAGCCAGGAGGAATTTGGCACCATCCTAAATACAAAATACAACTAAAGCAGCCACTATGCAGGCAGCATTTATAATTTTTCCCTGAAAATTTCTGTTTTTGTTAGATAAAAAGAGACATAAATATGAGATGAAGCGAACTAAAAACGTACTTGTTTTTGTTAAATTTTATTGAATTTTATTGTTTTTACATTTGTCTTTGATTAAATGACGAAATATCTTGTATTTTTCTTGAAATACTATCCAAACTGTGTTAGTATTCTATATAAAAAGTACTGTATAGTCTGTAGAGCAGTTTTACTAACCAAAGAACATTTTTTACAATTGTTTTTTTTTGCAAACTGTTTCGAACTTTGTACTTTGCCCTCGCGTGACCTTCTCTTCCATTTTTTACAAACGTACAATGCCATATAATAAACAGGACAGGAATGAGGAACAGAGGCGTAGCCAGGATTTTTGGTCAGGAGAGGCCAGCAAAAACCCAGGTGGGGCCAAAAACATTTCCGGACGACAACATTTTAAATCTCTCCGACCAACTTCCCC